GCTTGGCTAATCCAAAGTCAGAAATTCTTGTGGTGAAAGAGTCTTCGAGAAGAATGTTTTGAGGCTTGATGTCACAATGTACAATCTTGCTGCTGCACTCCTCATGCATATACAAGAGCCCTCTTGCGATTCCCAAGACAATATGCCTTCTCTGGCACCACTTTGGCCTCGACTCTCCAAAAACAAAGCTCGCTAAAGATCCATTGCTCATGAACTCGTACACAAGCATTCGGTGCTCACCCTCGTTACAAAACCCAAGTAGTTGGACTAAATTTCTGTGACTTGTTCTGCCAATTGCACTCACTTCTGCATTGAATTCCAAATCATTTCCTCTAACCTTCGCGTCTAAACTTTTGACAGCAACACACTTTCCAATCCCATTATCGGATGCTAAAACTCCTTTAAAAACAGTTGCAGATGCACCCCGGCCTAGTTCTTCCTTGAATTTGTCCGTAGCATCTTTTATCTCGTCATAAGTGAAACACTTCAAATTCATGCCTGCCATAACCTTATAGGGTGGAATCACCTTAGCTTTTCGAGAATATATGCGAGAAACAACCATATAGGTTACTAAGGGCAAGATGAAATTCAGAACCCCCAAGCTACTCAAGAGCACTGATCCAACTACAATCAAAGTTGAATCATATTCTTTCTTCTTTTTGTTCTTCGCAGCGCCACCTGATCTAGAAGTAGATTTATCTTTCCTTATTTTGATTAAAACTTTCCAACTATAATTTGCGTCGATCCTCCCATTGAGAAGAGGAACTCCTTTCAACCAACAGTTACCAGTTCTAAAACTAGCAACTGCGCAGAAGCAATCAGCTAGGCAAGTCTGCCTGCACCAATCCTCAGTTATGTCTTGAAACTTGTCATATTCATAAAAAGTCCAATACGCATTTTGCATCTCTTGCATATAGAAAAGATCACTCTCCGATGAGGCCTCATAGCAGCTTTGTGGAGCAAAGTTAGGTTTGCAGCCTTTCAACATATCATCTGGATCTATATAGGTATAACCAGGTGGGCACTGGCAAACCGATCGGCCTTGGTCATGTTTACATAAGCTGTTCAAGCCACATGCGCCCCTGCCTTTTGGTTGCAAGATACTCATGCAGATGTTCGAAGGTATGAAGGACAATGTAGACCATGTTCCGCCACTAGAGCCATTGTTTTTACGAAAAACATAGTACCTCAAAACTCCATCATAGTCAAGAGTTGCTCTCTGGTACAAATCTTGGTTCGAAAACATATAGGATAATACCACATTAAGTATCGCTCCATTCCTATCAGTAAGGTAAACAGAACCAGACCGGTTGAAGACTACCCGAAAGCCTCTTCCCAGAGTATCGGTGTAATTCCAATAACCGAAATACGGATAATCTTGTGGGAAATTTGTTGTGTAAAGCATAAGATTTCCAACTTTTTGTACTGCAAACATGAATCTACCTCTCGAATAATTTGTTGACGTGTAGTGAGCATAGAGTCTGCTGCCTTGATTTAGAGTTTGTGAGGGTAAAATTGTATCGGTTGGATGACTAAAACTCTCCCACAAACTGCTTGAATTTGCGGTGGCCAGCACAAAGTTTCCGGTGTCTAGCATGGCTGCATGTGCAACTCCAGTACCAGCAGAAGAAGCAATCCATGTGCTTTTGCCCGTTGCGATGTAACTAAGACTAAACTGGCCTTCTGCAGTGAACTCAACTTTCGATCCTTGTCGCACAAGATTTTTCCCATTGGCTGACCACACAATGGTTTTCTCTGGTATCTTATCGAACCAGATGGCTAGTAGGAAACCGTTGTTTCCAATCTGTCGAAAACCGAAAGCGAAATCACCAGATGGTGACTGCCAAGATGAGTTATCATTTTGTGCAGTGAGTGATGAGCCTAAAGATATGTTTCTATGAGTTTGAGCAGTGGTGGAAAATGGTAGAAACATGAAAAGGAAGAAGAAGAGAAGATATCGAACATCAAAAGCCATGGAAATTAAGGTGAGACAGTAATTTGCTCCGATCAAACTTTACTAAAATATTCAATAAATAGACTCAATATCAACTGAACTATATTTTATGTTAACGACAAGTTGACGAGTCCGACGACCCAAAAGTCTTTGCATGTTAAGAGAACTAAACATCAATTAACAAATAATCAAATGGAGGGGCACTAAAACATCCAATAATAAAATAAAATTTTCATATAATTGTTTGAGTTTATGTGTGACTTGGAGTTTGTGTGGCCGTTAGGGTTTCCAAGTAGCAAACCGGCTCTAATACCATTAATGAAGTTGAAGCCATACCTGAAATCAACTGGCAATAGAGAGCATATATCAACTTCTTAGCTCATGCTAGATTCTTTAATTTTTCGACAACAGGACAATCTCATCCTCACAAGTTATTGGGTGTAATTCTTCTTCAAACTTTTGAGTAATTATTCTTCTATCTTTATGTGTAAATGGAAGCAGCTTTTTTTTTTACTCCGATTCTTGAACATTATTTTGTACCCATTCTTCTTTTTGGCTCCTTTAATCATGCCTTACTTTGACTCATCTTACCATTTTTTTTTTTTCCTGAAGTACAAGGAAAATTTTATTAATAACAAAAAATCATACCACCATCTGTCAATTGAGAAAATGCACAAATCTATGAAGAAATGAAGCAACGAATATAGACTTGTGAGGAAGCCTGGATTTCTAGTTGAGTTTGGTATCTCTTCTTCTCTAAAATCCTCCAAATTCACAAAAGTCTACAACTCGATGAGGTTTATTTTCAACAAAAAGTAGATAACTTTAAGAGTTTTTAAGCCAGTATCAAGAGAATAACTTACATACACCTGAAGAGGTACATCACTATAGCAATCTAATTTACATTTTAATAACGCAATACCATATGAAAACATGACATGTATGGAAGTCTCACTCTTCTTGAGTGGGTCGGTGGACACCGAAAATTTTATGGTGTCAAAAAGTCTTGATTGAAAATAGTTCTAGAACTACACAGATATCGAATCAATTTTTTTCTAATTCCACCTAACTCCAATTGAAATCAACGTAGCCATTCAAAATTCAAAAGTTCCTCACTTTCACTGATAATATGATCACCACGGCACATTATACACGCATTGCACGATAAAAGAAAATCATGTTCTTTCATCACTTAATTGCCATGAATTTGGCGAAGAAGGTTCCTAGAAGGTTAAAACAAAAAATCTATCTAAACCCTAAACATTAGATAGAAATATTAACAAACGTTAAATTAATTATTATGTTTTTCACTAAACATGTAATACAAAACACGTTTTAGTGCTCTTTTATTGTAAGTTCGGTTTTCTTATTGGGAAAACCATGAGGGCGTGGTCGGGGTACAAAGCGGATAATATTGTGCTACAACGCAATCGAGCCGGTGATGTGGTGAGGACCCAGGCCGGGATGTGACCAAAGCACCATAGATAACTTGAGAGTTAAAACACGCTTTCATATTTGTCCACGACATCACTTAAAGCCAGTGAACCTAACAAATATCATTTCTTCAAAACTGTATGTAGTTATTTGGAATGATTTAAAAGGTTATGTCCGATTTGGAATGATCCCAAAAGGTTAGGTAGTTATTTGTACTTAACTCTTTTATATACTATTGAGGATTCAATCTTGCATGAGGTTTATCATAGTAATACATTAATTACCGCAGATTAAGGACTATCTGACTCACCAAACTCATGGCTTAGACTGTTACCCGAGAAAATCAAACATACAAATATGAAATTATACAGCAAGCACTTAAAATGTCGAATTTATGAACGAGGATGGATCAGGTGGAAATGAGACTTCAACAGTACCTTCAAGCATATGTGTGACATTCTTCATCGTGGGCCTCAACAATGGATCCTCCTCGATGCACCGCATTGCAATCATCACGTACTTCTCCATCCCTTGATGGCTTCCATGGGCTCACTGTCATTGGGAAACAGAAGTGCAGTTTGTTTTGCTTATGGGAATCTTACGCCCAATCCGCTAATATCATTTGATTTTCATCCTCGACGTCTTCTTCAAATTTCTTCCGGCAGCAAATAATCTCCAACGACAAAATGCTAAAGCTGTAAACATCCACCTTCCCTGTGATAGGCAAGTTTTTGAACCATTCCCGAGCCACATACCCTTTCATTCCCCTAATTGCAGTCGTGGTTCAAGTCTGGTCCATTCTCAATAGCTTGGCCAATCCAAAGTCGGAAATTCTTGCGGTGAAAGAGTCGTCGAGAAGAATATTTTGAGGCTTGATGTCACAATGTACAATCTGGCTGCTGCACTTCTCGTGCAAATACTAAGCCCTCTTGCAATTCCCAAGGCAATATGCCTTCTCTGGAACCACTTTGGCCTCAACTCTCTAAAAACATAGCTCGCTAAAGATCCGTTGCTCATGAACTTGTACACAAGTATTCAGTGTTCACCCTCGTCACAAAACCCAAGTAGCTGGACTAAATTTCTGTGACTTGTTCTGCCAATTGCACTCACTTCAGCATTGAATTCCACATCATTTCCTCTAACCTTCGCGTCTAAACTTTTGACAGCAACACACTTGCCAATCCCATTATCAGATGCCAAAACTCCTTTAAAAACTGTTGCAGATGCACCACGTCCTATTTCTTCCAAGACTTTGTTCGTAGCATCTTTGATCCCCTCAGATGTGAAACACTTCAAGTTCATGCCTAACATGATTGGATTAGATCGAATTGGCTTAGCTTTTCTAGAATATGCGCTAGAAACAACCATATAGGTTATTAATGGCAAGCGGAAGTTGAGAACCCCCAAACTACTCAGGAGCACTGATCCGGCAACAATCAAAGTTGAATCATATTCTTTCTTCCTTTTGGTCTTCGCGGCACCAGCTGATCCCAAAGTAGAATTGTCTTTTCTTATTTTGATGAAAGCTTTTCCATTATAACTGGGGTCTATCCTCCCATTGAGAAGAGGGATTGCCTCCAGAAAACACATACTAATTTTGTAACTGGCAACGTCACATAAACAATCGGCTAGGCATGCATGCCTGCCTGCACCAATCCTCAGTTACACCATAAAACTCGTCATACTGAGATGCCTGGCAATTCGCGTTTTGCATCTCTTGCATATAGAAAAGATCACTCTCCGACGAGGCCCCATCACAGCTATGTGGAACAAAGTTCGGTTTGCAGCCTTTCAACGCATCATGTGGATCCATCAAGGTATAACCAGATGGGCACTGGCAAATCGGTCGACCTTGGTTTTGATTACATAAGCTGTTGAAGCCACACGCTCGCCCGCCTTGCTTTTGCACGATACTCATGCAGATGTTCGAGGGAATGAAGGACAATGCAGACCATGTTCCGCCACTTGAGTCATTGCTTCTCCGAAATACATAGTACCTCAATACTCCATCATAGTCAAGAGTTGCTCTCTGGTATAAATCTTGGTTAAAAAATGTGTAGGGTAATACCACCTTGAGTATTGTTCCATTTGTTGCAGTGAGGTAAACAGAGCCAGACTGGTTGAAGATGACCTGAAAGCCACTATGCAGAGTATCGGTGTAATTCCAATAACCGTAATAGGGATAATCTTGGGGGAAATTTGTTGTAGAAAGCTTGAGATTTCCATCAGATTCTAGTGTAAGCAGAAATCTACCCATCAAGTAATTTGTTGACGTATAGGGAGCATATAGTCTGCTACATTGATTAATTGTCTGTGCGGGTAGGATTGTATCGGTTGGATGACCAAAACTCTCCCACAAACTGTTCGAATGTGCGTTGGCCAGCACAAAATTTCCAGTGTCTAGCATGGCTGCGTATGTAACAACCCCAGTACCTACTGAAGCTACCAACGTGTCTTTGCCTGTCGCGATATCATTGAGCAGCAACAGGCCAACAGCAGTGAGTTCACCTTTGGATCCTTGCACCACAACACTATTTCCATTGGCTGACCACACTACGGTTTTATCTGGTACCTTATTGAACCAGATGGCTAGTAAGAAACCGTCGTTTCCAATCTGTCGAAAACCAAAAGCAAATTCACCAGATGGTGATTGCCAGGATGCTGAATTATCATTTCGTGCAGTGAGTGATGAGCCTAAAGACATGTTTCTATAAGTTTGAGCTATGGCGGAAAATGGGAAAAACACGAGAGAAGCAGAGAGGATATAGCACATCAAAAATTCAGGTGAGGATAATTTGCTCCAAACTGATCACACTAGTAAAATCTTCAACAAACAGGCTAAAATCATCAACTATTTATGCACGGACGAGTTGACGAATACAACGACTTAAATTTTGTTTCCCATGTAACAGTGTAAGATGGTTTGTTTCCCATGTAACAGTGTAAGATGGTGCTCGTCAACAATCAAATAAAACTTTCATGTCAGATTTTCACCTTCGAGCATCCTTTTTTCGGCAATTCAGTGCGAGTGAGAAAGTTTTACGTGTGAGCAGATTTTCTTTTTGCATGTTTGAACAAAGGCATGAATCACATTTTGCTTCTATTAGTTTTCATCTCAAACGTGAAACACCATGATAAGTGAGAAAGCTTGGAATTTCTTGAGAAGGACCGGACGAACCTTTATTCCTTGTTTTTGAAGCTTTTCTGAACGAAGTGATCTGTAATTGAGTTTGGTAAATAAACCTTCTACAGTTTACACTCTAAAATCCTGCATGGTCCACAAAATTTCACAATTCAACTAAGTTTATAAAAGCTGACATGTGGTCAAGTTGGCTAGAATAGTATGATTTTAATCCTCCACCTAAGTTTGAATTCCTCATATCCCGTACCTGAGCTTGAAATCCCTCCTTCCCGTAATTTAGATTAGATAAAGCATCGCTTGAGAATAAGAAGTGCATAACTTTATGAAGCCACACGTGTAGATTAAATGCACCTGGAATTAAAAATGAACTCAAATTCTTTCCGGTTCCACAAAACTTAAACTTCGTGTTGATATCAAGTTTACGAAGTCATTAGTATGAGAAAACGTATACCTTAGGGCACGTTAAGTAACCATTTTGTTAGTTTTTAATTTTTAATTTTTTTTTTAGAGATAGAAGGTAGATATATGATAGGAGCATATTCATGCGACTTAATTAGCTTGTTCTCGTGCATTTATATTGTGTTTATTTAGTTGTTTTAGTGTTTAAGGTCACTTTTGTGTATTTTCAGATTACAAGGCCAAAGTGTGCAAGAAGATGCAAATTGGAGCCTTTTGGAGCGAAAAAGGAATGAATGAGTTGAAGACTTGAAGAAATGACGAAATCCTACTCCAACGATGAATTCTTACCAAAACGAGGAATCCTACTCAAACAAGGTTTCCTATTTTAGGAAAGTTAACCCTAAGTTTCCCGTTTTGGTAACCTTTCCTAATCTAAACGTCCGTATTTTCTAGCCACTTTGAAGACCTTGTAGGTACTTTAGGACACAAAACGAAGACCCTAGGCTCCTTATCCATCCTTGCTGTGCCCTTTTATTTTCTTCCCTTCCCTTGCCGTGCAAGGGAGGGCAATTTTGTCTTAGGGTTGCACTTAAAACACATGCTTTTAAACCCTAGTTCTACACCCTTGCAGCCGCACCTCTCCTTCAAAATTCATTTAAGTCGTGCATTCCATCAGCCCTTCATCTTTAATCCGTGCACTATCATTCACCCTAACTCTATCATGCAGCCACCTTGATAACCTATTACACTCCAATCCGCACCATAACCCTAAGGAATTAAAAAAGGGCAGCAGCCACCATATTCCTAGAATTCATAACAACCGCAAGACATCTGCCACATCCTAAGCCGTGACTAACCTCCCAAATTCTCCCACAAAACAACACAGCCGCAGCACCATATATTTTTAACTCCTTCTCTGCCGTGGCCCCCCCCATTAATCATTCAACCTAATACAATAATCAGCCAATATATCATATAATTCCTTGCTGCCGCAAGAGTTCTTCCACATATTTTCACAATCAGCCGCCACCATCCCATAAAATTCCTTCCAGCCGTGCCTTTCCCCATCCAGCCGCAACACCATCTCAGATTCTCTCCATCTTCCCCTTCCATTCCAGCCGCCATCTACACCATTCCACCACCTTACAAACCACCCTACACCTCCACACACCCTTGCCGCACCACCACACTACCCTAAACCCATTCCCAAACCAGAAAATCAACCAAAAACACCATTTAACCTCACTGTCGCAGCAAGGAGAAGAGGAAAGAGGAGCTTCGACGCGCAGAAATTCAAGTGGATTCGTTGGGCGTTCTAGGTGTAATCAACCCTTTATGCTTTATGTTTAAATTCAATTGTATTTCTCTTTTTGTGAACATGAGAGGCTAAATCCCCCTAGTTAGCTAGGGGGTGATTCGAAACCATGTTTATGCTTGCAATATGAATTGATTACTTTTGGTTGGAATTTCATAAGTTGTGGATTCAATTCGTTCATCTATTTGATTGATAACGTATTTGTGTATGTTGATTGAGAGTGCACGCTTAGTTTTCATGCATGAATATGATGCTAGATTATGAGGGAGTTTCACCTAATAGTTACAATCTTATAATCACAAGTAATGAAGGTCGCTTGAAAACGATCGCGTTGAATGAATTCTTAGCATAAGTTTCATGCAATTCATAGTAACGAATGCTTCGTCAATGCTTATGTTTTTCATAGAACTTAATGATTCTTGCTTGTATCTCTATTATGCAATTCATGTAGGGAACTTGTAGGGAATGTTTTGGGTTGTCGTATGCAATCATCCAACTTAATAACTTGTGGAAAAACTGAGGGTTAATTAGTGCAATTCACGGTTAATTTGGGGCGTTGAGTTTCATAATTTATCGAAAGACCAACTGAAAATCATTTTGTATGCAAGTGTAACATGTGTGGAGAAGAACCTTCTAGCTAGCATTCATTCCATATTTCATCACATTCATATTTACATTCTGCCTTTAAATTTACAATCTATGCATTTAATTTATTTTCGTCAAAACCTCAATCCCCCTTTACCTTAGTGTCTAATTTAGTTAGAAAGTGTCTTAATTTGTGTTTATAAGTGTTTTGTATTCTTTGAGTCTTTTGGTTTGTTTTAGTGTTTTATTGTTTAGTTTTGCATTCTTTGAGTCTAGTTTAGTGTTTTTAACGTTTGTTTTACGTTTTTGAGTCAGTGTCCAAGTGATTTAGTAATCCCTCCTAATCCCCGGTCTAGAACGATCCCTACTTGCATCTTTACTACAATTGTCACAAGAGGGTTTTAATTTGTGTGCTTACTTAGTTCGCATCAAATTTTTGGCGCCGTTGCCGGGGATTAGCAACTTTGCTAATCCCTTGGATTGTTTACTTTCTGTTTATTTATTTATTTTGTTGAAGTTTCTGATTTTGTTTTGTTTTTTTTTTCTTGTTTTATGTACTAGTGCATGACTCGGAGTTCTCAACCGATTCGTGAGCGTATCTCGGACTTTGACAGTGACTTTGAGAGGACTTTGAGACGAAGGAAGAAGCATCACGAATCAAATCCGCCAAGCCCGGAACCTGAGCTTGACGAACAAGGCCTAGAAAAGGAAGAAGAACCCACGGCAGGGATATTTGAAGAAGACCAAGGCATGGCGGTGGACAATTGTACACTCAAGGAGCTTTCCGCCTCAGGTTTGGATAATGCCGCACCCTTGTGCATTCAATACCCCACGGCAGCCCAAGGTAAGACGGATGAGTTTGAATTAAAGTCAAGTTTACTTCATCATATTCCTAAATACCATGGCTTGTCCATGGAAGATCCTAACAAACATTTGAAAGAATTTGAAGTAGTTTGCTCTAGTATGACTCTCGTCAACGTCGATGGAAGCATATTGAAGATGAAGGTTTTTCCATTCTCTTTGATGGATAAAGCCAAAGATTGGTTATATGAGTTAGCTCCCGGCACTGTCACTTCTTGGGAGAGCATGAAGAGGGCTTTTCTGGAGAAGTTCTTCCCAACTTCTCGAATCATCCTTTTACGAAAAAGGATAAGTGGTATACAGCAAGAAGATGGTGAGTCTTTTCCTACGTATTACGAACGTTTTAAATCTCTTGTTGCTTCTTGTCCACAGCACCAGATGAATGAGGAGTTACTTCTGCAATACTTCTACGAGGGGCTCCTGCCAATTGAACGACAAATGCTTGACGCATCGGCGGGTGGAGCATTGGTGGACAAGACACCCATGGCGGCCAAGGTCTTGATTGCAAACCGAGCATTGAATGCTCAACAGTATGAGAGAGTAGGCCAAAGAGGACACCCACGGCACCAAGTACATGAGGTAAGTTCAACGTCTGATCTTCATTCACAATTGGCTAATCTTACTTCTATTGTTTCACAGATGGCCGAGGGAATGAAGATACAAGGACCTGTGGTATGTGGCGTATGTTCTATCCAAGGACATGCCTCCGAAAAGTGTCCTCAACTCATCGAGAATGGCGGATGGGAGAGTGCGAATGCCATTGGGTTTCAAAGTCAAAATCAGTCAAGACATGATCCATATTCCAACACGTATAATCCGGGGTGGCGAGACCACCCAAATTTCAGGTGGAGGGATTCCCAGCAACCTCAGAATCAAGGAGGCTTTAGGCAACAACCCCCGGGGTTCTTTCCCAAACCCTACGGCCCACCCCAAAATCAAGCCCAATCCGGCCCAAGTGCCTCAGGTACGTCTCTTGACAATGATGCACTCCTTAAGATACTAACTAAGTTGTCTAATGGGCAGGAAGATCAAGCGAAGGCTATGCAAAACCAAGATAAGAGGGTGGATCAACTTGAGAAACAAATTGGGCAGATTGCCGAATTTGTAGGTAAGTTTCGAGATCCCGGACAACTCCCTAGTTCCACCATTCCAAATCCGAAGGGAGGCTTCGAAAGCGCAAAGGCCATATTATTGAGAAGTGGAAAAGAAGTCGGGGCAGGTCCTACACCATCACCATCAAGCCCCGAAGAGGATGAAAAACTAAGAATCGAAGAGGAAGAAACAAGGTTGCCCACGGCAAAGGTGATTCCACCTTTGCCGCAAGTCCCTATGGTCCCAAATATGCCCAATTCGGCCAATAAAGGTAAAAATGTGTTAAATTCAGTTCCTGCTAATGTTTTCC